TCCTAGCCGCAGCGCTCGGCCCCTAGCCGCAGCGCTCGGCCCCCTAGCCGCACCGCTCGGCCTAGACATTGTCGTAACCTAAAAAAACCCTTCAAAATCAAAAATTAAAGATTAATAATATTGCTGAAAAACAAGTGGTCATGTACAAAATTGAAAGGAGGTGGGGAGGGGGCGGCCAAAAATCGTACTCTAGGACAGATCCAACATTCCTGGCATGGCTGTGTTATGAATAAGAGGTTTTATTGAGATATTGTGTTAAATGGGTGGGTTTTGTGGATGCAATTATTAAAGAACAAACTTTAAAGTTTATAACTTTTTCCATGCTAGTTGGAGTAGGACGGTCGCCGCCATCTTGTTATTAATCCCACCTTTGCCCTGGATTTTTAGTGGTCTGTAGGTAATTGCCCGTAGAACGATTTTTGAAACCCCCTCCCCCTTCCTTTCAATTTTGTACATGGAGCTCATGTGACAAAAAACTTGAACATTTGGCCGCAGTTCCCTGCACCCTGTCCTATCCGCAGCGCCCGCCGCCATCCCCCTGCTAGCATGTCTTAGCTGTAGCGCTAGGCCTAGAAATTTTCAAGCCAACCTTAACCCTAAAATAGTAAAAATAAATTTTAAATAATATAAAATTAAGGTCATGTGGAAAATTGGTATGAGGGCCCAAGGGTCTAAAAATCGTATACTAGGACAGACCCGGTCTGTAATAATTGGAAATGAATGACGATGTCAAAATTAGCAAGCTGCTTTTCGTCCCTGACACTATTTAAAGGGTAAGTATTAATTGTTGATACATCTTTATTTTGATTCTGGTGTAGGTGAGCGAGATCTTGAGGGGCAGGTTGGAGAGGAGGAGGTGGTACTTCGTAAAGGACCAGGAGTAGGACGGATAAAGTTGCCAGAGAGGGAGGAGAGGATAGTCGAGCAGGGGATTATTCTTAAACTTGTCTCACATCTACTCACACTTTGCTCGTATACAGGTGAATATGGGGGGTCAGAATGTGGGGGGAAAGGGAGCTAATGCATAGGCCCATGTCGGGAGAGATGGTATTCTTATTCATTTATAGTTCAACTTTTGTGGGGATTAAAATATTTTGAAGGTTTTAAGGATGGTAAGCTTAAAAAAGCTAGGATTCGATGTGTTTAATAAAATTATCAATTACTAATTTATTTTAGTTTTCATTTGTTTGTTCCCTTTAACCTACTGGTTCTGCATAAAGAAAATAAATGATACGGAACGGATTATAATTTTCAGGTCAGTACACAATCAACCGGTTTTTGTCTCTTTTTCAGTTTACTAATTTTATATTTGTTATTTCACATTACGGCTGTAAAATTCAGTACTTATTTTTATTCAGATTCTTGATCTGTCTTGTACTAAACGGACCCGTTGTTAATTCATGAACATAATATGCACAGTTTTAAAATTTTAATGTTTTTTTTATCTCTTACTTCCATATTTTTGACACTTCCACTTGACTGCGTCATAGTTTTAAGTCCACTTGATTTCGGATCTGTGGGTCCGCGAGTTTTTGAGAATTCGGACCCAGTGAGTACAAATATTCCAGATCCTGATTGCACTTGCAAAATAGTTGGATCTTTTTTATCTCGATTTCCACGTTTGTTGTGATTTTGTTTGTTTAATTTTCTTTCAATTTTTTTATGTGATATTTTGCTCTCTAAATTACTTTGTATGTAAAGAATAATTTTATTTCTTAAATGATTGTGAGAACTTGATCTCATGATATGATAAGATTATTGATATAAAAGGGATTAGTTTCATTACAGTTGGGAATCTGTTAAAATAATCAACATTAAGTTCTCCTATTTAGCGGACACTCGTGAGTCTTGTTAACACATGTGTTGAATTTATTTAATTAATGAAACAAACAGAGAAAAGCTTGAGTTAATTTTTAAATATTTTGCGAATTAAACAAATATATTAATCTGTATTTTCTTCAATATTATTTTTTACCCTCACCTTGTTTCTTTTTAAAATATATCCCTCCAATATGCATGTTTAGGAAATTGTGATTCTTTTCTTTAAATTTAAACTTCATTTGAAAAAGATGTTATTTTTGTGGTTGGGAATTGAGGATATTCATTATTGATTATTGATTGATTGATTATTGATTTCTGTTTTTCTTTTTTGGGGGGGGGATAGTTTTGATTAAAATTTGCCATGTTTTGGTAAAATGGGTAAAACATTAAGCTTTCTCATCAGTTTAATGTTTTAATTTTTTATCTTTATTTTTACTTATCATTTCGGATAATCTCTATTTAATGGCGTTGTTTCACTCTGTATATGTTCAGTGTTTATTTACCTCTTGTTATTTCAGGCTCGGAGCTTTAATTGGGAGCAGAGGTCCAGGTATATTGTAAACATTATTCAATTACCCCCCCCCCCACCAGTACGTCCCTGGACTTTGTAGCGAACTACAGGGTGTCCCACGAAACATGACAGTTGGTGAATAGTTTAGAATGTCTTCAATTCCCTAATTTGTTAAGTTGTGTGATACCAAAGAATAAGATCAATAAAAATATTAGATGGGAGTCATGTTATATCAAAATTGATTTCAAAGTAAAATATAATTAAGCAAAAGATTTGTTTAACTAAAAATAGCTATTTATTAAATGTCATGTTTCGTGGGACACCTTGTATTAGTATCATAACGTTTTATTATGGACCACTATTTCAAATTTTTAACAACAAATTGAGAAAAATTCTAAGACGACAAAAATATTTTTGAATCAATAACATCTTTTACTGAAGTTTCATTAGCTATATTAAAATTAAAGCTGTAAAAAACGTTTGGGTTTTTATTTATCCCTGTTTGTGTAAGTAAACAAAATTGAAAACTGAAATATCGCATTCGCGGCATTTATTCAAAGTTGCGCATATTGATACAGATAGATCACAAACCGATTTTGTTCCACTTTTTTCAGATACGTATCGTCGTATATTAAAACCTTGGTATATTCCTAGAGAACGATTTTTGGACCCCCCCCCGCCCCCCCCCCTCCTATCAATTTTGTACATGACAAAATTAGTATTTATTTAGCATTATCCAGGGTTAGGTTAGGTTAAGACACTTTCTGGGCCGAAACAATGTTACTAAAATAAAATGACAATGTTACTAAAATTAAATGACAATGTTAATAAATTAAATGACAATGCTAATAAGATAAAATATGTAATAGTTTAACTAGTTTTCCATGTCGGAGTAAAATGAAGTGATTAAGGCTTTGAGGGTTTGATGGAATAGTTCAAAACATTTGTAAAAACTTCTGAAATATAAACCCGGTTTTTTAAAGTGGAATTGACTATTGATTGCAAAGTTATTTATGGGTTTGATCTTTCACTTAGTAAAACATTTCAGTGTTTCGATTTTTCCTTGACTGAGTAGAGAGGTAGAGTAGGCGAAATGGTTTGGTTTGGGTTTGGGCTGGTAAAGACGACATGACGTGAGAGTGGGGTTAGGAGATAGATTTATGGTCAACAAATACATTTAGATCAAGACAGTTAAGAAATTTGCAACAATTTTCAAGACTGAGTCGATTTTAAAGTGTCGCAGAGCCTTGGCCCTTTATTTGACTCTACTTATAACTTCTAATTTTTGCAGACCATTGATATTTTAATTATAGAACTATAAATGCACTTGTTTTTAGCTTTAGTTTTGAGAAGTAATTGGCAAAATTCTCATAGAGTTTTGCTCGAGAGCTTGCAACCTTTAAAAGTTTGGATCTCTGTGAATTAACAATTTTCCCTTCTTACAAAATCAATCCTCCTCTAAAAATTATTTTAATGAATCTTGTAAAATTTTTTTTTATAGTCTGATTTTATAAAAAAAAAATCTTTAGTTTAGAGAAAAAAAAGGCTCAAAAATCATAAATTATACAAATATTGTTGATTGTTTTGAAACTCATCATAGAGATGGAATCTAGTTTTTTAAACTTTTAAATTTCTTCAGTTCTATAGAGCTGCAATCTACTTTTATTAAACTTTTAAATTTTTGCAATTCTATAGAGATGCAATATAGTCTTTTATACTTTTAAATTTCTTCAGTTCTATAGAGATGCAATCTAGTTTTTTATACTTTTAAATTTCTTCAGTTCTATAAAGATGCAATCTAGTCTTTTATACTTTTAAATTTCTGCAGTTCTATAGAGATGCAATCTAGTTTTTTATACTTTTAAATTTCTGAAGTTCTATAGAGATGCAATCTAGTTTTTTAAACTTTTAAATTTCTTCAGTTCTAAAGAGATGCAATCTAGTTTTTTAAACTTTTAAATTTCTTCAGTTCTAAAGAGATGCAATCTAGTTTTTTATACTTTTAAATTTCTTCAGTTTTATAGAGATGCAATCTAGTTTTTTATGCTTTTAAATTTCTGCAGTTCTATAGAGATGCAATCTAGTTTTTAAACTTTTAAATTTCTTCAGTTCCATAGAGATGCAATCTAGTTTTTTATACTTTTAAATTTCCTCAGTTCCATAAAGATGTATAAAAGTGATACCTATTCTTGTGATAAGCAACCTTTTATAAAATTGCTGATATGAATCGCAATTTGACTATTTTTAAGGTTTAAGATAAATAAACGAAGTACGACAATAACTCAAGTAGTTTCTGATGATTTTTTAAATAAAAGATTTTACAAAGAAGATTCCAGTAGCTTTGGCTCGCCCAAAAACAAACAATGCAGGATTCAAAGGTTAAACCTCTAACAGTTTTTAGGCCTTAAGATATTCGAATTTCTGTTTAATAGTTTAATCAATAAGCCCTGCATTAAATGTTGCCACGCTTTTAATGGTGGACAAAGTATTTCTGAATAAGTTTTAATGTTTCTTTGTTATGAACCAAATTTCTATATTTCACTTTTTGTTCTCAAGTATATACTATTCAATTGTTTAGTCCTTAAGGTTTGAACTTTTAAATGTGTAACTTTAATCCTACTCCGAGATTGTTCCTCTCCGTTTTAGGAGTATTCCAATCCTTCTTAACTACTTCATATATATTATTAACACTGAGATTTTCGTTTAGCTATGTATTTCAGTCCAAGGGAAAAATTTTGACAATATTAATCATATAAATGATTAGTTAAAAAGATAATATAATGACTAATATAGAATTTAATATATAACAATATTTGAATAAAAGTATGAACAATCTGATTTTTATGAATTATATATATATCTATCTTTACTTAATACTATTGGATTTCAACCTCTATGAATCAGTTTAGGGTGAATAGATAAACGAGAATTACGGATATTGACAAAACAAATAGTTACAAATAAAATGATTTATTACCTAGATTTTCCAATTTGTTTCTTCAAAGATACACTTCAAAATCACCGGGTCATTTTACGATAAATACAGATCTGAGAGGAAAAATCTAGGATTCAAATTCCAACTAACTAACCCGAGTCAGGGTCTGTCTTGGCTTTTTATAGTAAACCATGATAGATTGTTCTAGAACATTCTCGAAGCTGTTGCGCTTGTTTTTTGGCGCTGCTCGATAATTTATTCTAGAACTTTCTTGAGACAAAGGTGCATCTTTTCTTCTAGCTGGTTCTAGAAGTTTTAGATGTTTCTACTATCTTTTACCCAGGGTTGTTTAGCCTTGAATCTCGATAATTGATGATAGGTACACAGGCTAATTAGTTCCCAGATTCAAGTCAAATTATATCTTTATCATCAATAATTACAGATGCAATCTAGTTTTTTATACTTTTAAATTTCTGCAGTTCTATAGAGATGCAATCTAGTTTTAATTATACTTTTAAATTTCTGCAGTTCTAGAGATGCTAAGATCTTACAAGAGATGTATAAACGTACAGATTTGTGAATACAGAAAACAGAACTTTTTATTTAAAATCAACATATTAAAATTTGTAGAAATGGTAAATTTCTAAATGATTTTTGAACAAGCGGTTTTATTTACCACTAAATGCTGGGTGGTATTTTTCTTACTGCTCGTGCTCAATTTTAATTAAACTCAATTGAAGGCAACTTTTTAAATGCAACTTGTAAGTTGTACACTTTAGATTATAATCTCTTTAAAGAAGGTCAACTGTTACAATTTAAGTTTGTCATTCCCCATTGGGCTCCTATTAAACTGATGAAACTATACTAAAAATACCATGGTTTAGTCGAGTCATGGATTTAACCATATAAGTCTGTACTCTGTAAGTATACGAAGTCTAGGTAATCAATATTTACAGTCTTACAAACGGCCTTTAAGTCACTGCTCAGAAGTTAAACTCAAAAATATAAAATTTTAAACATTTTGGACGTAAACGATATGTTCCTCTTCATGAACCCTGCACGTGTATTCAATAAATGTGATATACGACACATTCAAAAATGTATATTGCATAATAATGTATATCTTATTTTATATACAGGGTATCCCAGGAAACATGACAGTTGATAAATAGTTATGAATGTCGTCTTCCATATACTGCATTAGATTTTTTGCAGTTTATTTCTTTTGCTTAAATATATTTTACTTTGAAATCTGTTTTACTATAACATGACTCCCACATTATATTTTTATTATTGTCTTTGGTATCAAACAACTTAACAAATTATTAAGAAGACATTCTAAACTATAAACCAACTGTCATTTTCGTGGGACACCCTGTATATGACAATTGATTCTCACAATTTTGGTTTGGTTGAATTTATGATATGTTTTCGGTTAAGTTACAAAATTTTGAAAGGAAAACAAAAGATGATGAAAAATTAAAAAACTGAAAGTTGATGCAACTGAACATAATCTATATAAGGATAAAAATAAATAAAAATTGCAGCGCCATCAATATTTAATGGAAGTAATATTTAATAAAAAAAGAAGTCAGCACCCTTTTTGGCCTTAAAAAAAACCATGGAAACCATAATATTTCACTGATAAAAGGGGCTGAGCCCCATAACCCTCCCCCTTGTATACGTCTCTGCATATAAGCCTTTTTAGGCGTTCCAAAATATGGTTTTCCTTCTTACTGTAAACTTCAGTTCATTTGAAATAAGGCTGACTTTTAAAAACTAAAGGGTAAGACAAGGGAGGAGGGCTTTAACTTGACAGTACACCAAGTTAATTAACTCGATCTCTTGTGTTCTAAGAGTTCTAATTGTATCTTTATAAAATTGACGAAGATACATCTAAAGAATTTTGTTGATTTAATAATTTGGAATCTGGACAAATTTCATGCAGTATCTCAGTTAGTTTTGAAGGTGCTGAAAATGTATACAGTGATAACAAGAAAACAATGGAGTAGAAAGACGACATTATAGCAATATTTAAGCGTTTTGATGTTGTTACGAAGCAAATATTTTTACTAGAAGTTAGCAAAGGACAATTCAAGTGAAAATGGTCTATTTAAACTGAGCTGAAAACTTTAGAATTGGATACCCTTAATCCAGATCTGATCTGAATTATCCACCGTGGAAACTTTTTAATCCGCTCAATTGTTTGATATCGACACAGCCGGCCAGGCCTGTTCTAAACATATTTCATTCATCAGGCCTTTCATTGGACTGCAAAAAGTATTTAATTCATCAAAGTGTTTTTTGAGTATACTCGTATCTTTACAATAACTAAGAACAGTTAAAAAGGAGGAATTTTTTTTAAATTGAAATTTTACAGAAGGTTCTTGACCTAAGAAATTTTTTCAAATTAACGAAAATTATATAAAAAAAACGTTATTTTTTGGATGTTCACGGCCTTAAAATTTGTATTTTCGTGATCCGTCAAATTTTTCAGATTTACATTTTTTTGCTCAGGACGGGGAAAAATACCGAGTAAATCAATAATGTTAATTATGGAACATCCTAAACCCTTATGTTTATTTGGACACCCGACCATTACAAATTACAATGCTGCATATTTTGTTAGTCTTATACTTGAAATATATGTCTATACGTACATTTTTTATGTATTGTCCGAAATAACTTTTAAAAGTCGCATGCTTAAAAAATTTGAGAAATCAGAAAAAATATTTTAAAAAGACGTACTGGAGCCCCCCGCTTAAAAACACTAATTTTCTGAAAAAAAGAGTCAAGCAACAAGCATTTTTTTAGGGGTTGGGGGCTCCGGGCAAAGGGAAATCAAGAAAATATGAATGAACAAACTCTACTCTACCCCTATTCCAATACGTTCACTCCTAGCTTAACCATTACTGTACATCCCCCACCCCTCTTCAAAAACACTTTACCTTTCCCCCTTCGGCCTCCACTTCATATAATTATTAATATCGTATCCTCTGGGTCCTCCTCCTTCACCCTCTGATAAAACCTCAACTCACCCAAACTTTCCTTGTTTTTTTTTTTAAGAACTGGAGGATAAGTTTGAACATTGAACACTTGACATACGTTTAAACTTATTCAAAATCTTATTATATACATCATACGAGACCATAAAAGTGTCTCAGCTCGTACAACTACAAAATTTATTGAATGTTTGTTTAGGGAGAGTGCTTGTATTTCCTTGGATTGATAGAACCCAGACTGTTTACGTCGCAAACTCAGCTTTCAGGAAAATTATCAATAAATACCATCAATCAGTATATTAAAACAAGACATTCATATATATCTTCCCTTTAGCCGGCCCAACGGCTGGACCGAATGTCTGAAATTTATTATGGACACTACTCATGGGTAGCCTAGGGGTGACAAAGTCTAATTTTTTTTCTTTTAAATATATATATACTGATGATTGCATAAAAGCATGAAACAATTTGTTTATGAATAAAATGTTATAAGAAGATTGTTGCGTTTCAACTGATATATATTTTCCCACGGGCAACGCCGGGCTTTCAGTTTGTCTTTCTTTTCATCTTAATTGAAAAATTTAACAGTTCTTAAGATAAAGATTTTTTTTCGTTGAATTTGTACTACATCAATTAAACTCATGAGTTAGTGCTAGAACCATTAAAACGAAAGAATTTGATTGATGGATTTACTATTAAAATACAGTGTTCCTCCCCAACAATTGATCACTCATGATGGAGGAATTATCGAGATAGGTAAATAATAAAACTCACTAATTCTTAGCGCTGGTTTGGCGAATCTCTAAATAAATGTTGGCATTATTTGCGTTTTAAAATATCTTCTTTTGCAAATATTTATCAAATGTTTATTTTTTATTCAAGTTATTTAATTAATTTTTACGTCAGGAGCTGAGGTTCACTACGCGGTTGTTGACTGTGTAGCACTTGTTCGTGAGGTTGCCGACCATCAGGTACTTTAAGGGGATATTTTGGTTGATATTTTCACTTAGATCCATTTCAAATCCGCTAGATCCATAATATTTAGCTCTGAAGCAGTGTTGATAGTAATACTGAAGGAAGATACACCAGGAACCCACATATATTAGGTTTCAGAAAAGTGTAAACAAACTCGGTGATACTCGGGCAGAGTTTTGTTTCTATGTTTCTTACGATAACTGCAGTATGCTTTATTAGTAAACAAAAATACAATGGGTCCCTTTGTATCGGTGCTTAGGATCCAAAGGGCAAGATATTAACTAAAAACTGTGAAAACACTTTTTGCTCTCAAAACCCAAACCTGAAAAAAGAGATTATTAAAATTTTCATAAACTCTGAATGGTCCATCAACTTTTAACATTAATAAGGAAAAAAGAAAGAAAAATTATTTAAAAATTCTTCTTTTGTTGAAAAAATCAGTAAATCTTAACAGAACATGACTTGGATACTGATAATTTTTTATCAGGGCGGATCCAGGATCCGGATCCGCAATAAAATGACATGTCTCTTAAGCACTGTGAATCTTCCCGAGTATGGTCTATATATTCATAATTTTATTGTTGCTTAATAATCTTTACAAAGATTAATAATGTTTAGGAAATAATCAGATCTCTAGCTAGAACTATTCTACTCAAGCTGATTATTTTAGAATATTGATGTTTAGGAAATGATTAGATCTCTAGCTAGAACTATTCTACTCAGGCTGATTATTAAGAAGAATATTGATCAGCTGGTGAAAGACAAGCAAAGCGCTTCACTGGTAGGACTTATATATTTAAAAAAATTATTTTTAAAAAATTTCTTCTTTGCTATTAAATAATTAATAGAAGTCACTTTTTTGGATATAAAAGTTTAAATTGATTTCAGGATGTGAAGAAGGAGATTAATGGACAAGTTAGAAAATGGGGTTTGGACATAAGGTATTTTGTATAGACAAAAAAATAAAATTTTAATATTTAGATTTTTTCTTCAGAACTGGTTTTAATCAGGCATGTTTTCCCCTACCTTTCTTTTCAAACTCAGAACTCCCCACAGAGTAGATATTGATAGAGGTTCAGTGTACTGAGTACAGCATGCAAGCTGGGCAAAACTGTACAATTTTAGAAAAATTGGGATTGATTGTGAATGTATTCTTAAAAAAACAAGTTATTTTTCCATTGCTTCCTTTTTTTACTTTCTTATTTTTTGCTTACATTTTAGGCGAAACGTATTTATCTATATCTCTCAGATCATTTATTATTGATGTTTACGCCTGCAAAATAAATGATCTAAATATATGCCAAAATCGAAGTTCAAAACAAACCCCTAAAGACCCCTCTGTATGCGTTCTATAAAAATCCCACTTCGTCTTGGAATCCAGGTTTCTTGAGATGAGTTTGTTGGTGTCTATCTTTGTCTATGTTGCTCCCCCAGAATGCCAAGTTCAAAGTTCAAAAATACCAAAGATACGATTTTTTCCAACCTAAAAATTGTTTCAGAACATACAGAACATTTTTTAAAATTATTATTTCAGAGCTGTTGTTCTCTCCGATGTAAAAGTATTGAAATCTCCTGTAAAGGAGGGAGGTATTCCACCTCTACTAGCCAGTCTAGGTCATACAACACAGGTAGGAATATTTATAAATTCTTAAAAGGGACTGTAAGCGTAATTCCAAGTAATCCTCGGGGCAAAGATTGCAATGTCCGACTCACAAAGGTACCCTTCAAAGCTTTGTCTGATCAAGTGTGAATTAAATATCAATGTTTATAATTTTGTAAACTGATTAGTTTTAGTACTGTTTTCTCTACAAAAGTGACTTGCGCATAGAGATGGATCTTTTTATTTTTTTTAAACGATCGTTTCGTTATGAAAATGACGACGAAAAAATGAAAAACGAAACGATCGTTTTTAAAAAGTTCGTTGTTTCATTAACGATCGTTAACGAAGAGAGGAGGAGAGAGGAAATCCACCTGAAGGGCATCAGTACTTATCATTGTATAGTTGTGTAATAGAACTTATAGCTCCACCACAACATTTACCTGCATGTAAGACAACCTTCGATAAAATTGCATGCAAGACATTATTCATAATCGTCTTCATATATGTCGAAAAACAAATTTATCAATGAAATTTTTTTAGTAACAATCGTATAAAAAACGGTTGCTTATCGTGTTTATAAAAACGATCGTTTTCAAAAGCGATGTTATTCGTTTTCTAAAAGTTCAAAACGAGTAGATCGGGTTAAACAACGATAGTTTTTTTCCGAAAATCTTCCTTAGAAATACTACAATATCTTTTCCATTTTTGATAAGATTATTGTGAATCGGGCATTACCATCCTTGCATGGGCGTCACTTAAAATTGCGTTTACAGTCCCTTTATTAAGAAAATTCTTTGTTTCCTTGCTTTCCCTGAACACTGTACGTAGATTGTAAAGAATGTGGATGTACATTGCGAATTTAAAAGATCTTGTTAAAAGGTAGGATTGACTGACTCCGTTCATTAGAAATAAAGCAAGAAATAATTTTTTTCCATCATGTGAAATCTTTCAATAATAAGCAAGATTTCTCTCAATTTATCTTTTAGTATTTAAATCAAAACCTTTACGTAGTTTCTTATTTGAAAAAAGTATTTTTAGACCCTCTCCCCAGCAGCATTTGCAAAGTACATCTACTCCATGGAGGAGGAGGAGGAGGAGACGGGGAACCTCATAGATATCCAGGATTCAATAGAAGAAGCTGAACAGGTACACGGAGAACATAAACTCAATCTGAATACAGGAGAGACTGAAAATTGGTTACGAGCATTTTGTATGTATGTTCCTAGGAAAGGAACAGCTGGTCTGCGGGGCTATTTTTTTAGAGGAAGAACAGCTGGTATAGAAAATTCTAAATGTTTAAGAGAAAGAACAGCTGGTCTAGAATATTCTGTATGTTTACGGGAAGAACAGCTGGTTTAGTATGTTTAGAGGAAGAACAGCTGGTCTAGAATATTTTATATGTTTAGGATAAGAACAGCTGGTCTAGAATATGCTATATGTTTAGGAAAAGAACAGCTGGTCTAGAATATTCTAATGTTTAAGAGAAAGAACAGCTGGTCTAGAATATTCTATATGTTTAGGAGAAGAACAACTGGTTTAGAATATTCTAAACGTTTAGAAGAAGAACAGCTGGTCTAGATTATTTTATATGTTTAGGAGAAGAACAGCTGGTCTAGAATGCGCTAAATGTTTAAGAGAAAAAATAGCTGTTCTAGAAAATTCTATATGTTTGAGGAAGAACAGCTGGTCTAGAATATTCCATATGTTTAGAGGAAGAACAGCTGTTCTAGAATATTCTATATGTTTTGAGGAAGAACAGTTGGTCTAGAATATTCTTCAGGTTTAGGAACAGCTGGTCTAGAATATTCTATATGTTTAGAGGAAGAACAGCTGGTCTAGCATATTCTATATGTTTAGAGGAAGAACAGTTGGTCTAGAATATTATACATGTTGGCGCTACGACATCTGCTCTAATTCCATTTGCTCTATGGCCATTTGCTCTAGTTCCATTTGCTCTATTAACCATTTGCTACTTAGCTCATAGATCACGACGTTTGCTCTATATCTCATCTGCTCTATACGTCAATTGATCTAGAATATTCCACATGTTTAGGGGAAGACCAGCTGGTCGGTTTGTCTGCAGAATATTCTAGAAACTGAGAAAATCGAGGCGGAAAATATCGGAACTTACACTCTGATTCTCTCAGGAACAGAATTAAGAAATTTAAAATATTTAGAAATTTATTTATTTCCTCAAAAATCATCTCTTGTTTTAACCAATCAAGTTACAACATATGCGTGATTTCTTTAAAAGTTAGACATACATTTTTTTTCATAGAAATTACACTTTTGAACCCATATCTTCTCTCCAGTCTTGACTTCAAAACTCAGTTCAGCAATTTGATTGGTTCAAACAAAGCTTGTCTTAAGGAGAATTCATTAACTGCCAGGACATTAGAATTCTAACCAGCAACGGTTTAGATCAAAACGCATTTGTTTCATATCTCATTTCATTTATGTGAGTTTTGTTTTATAGGAAGTTGTTGCTTTGCTGTTCAAATTTAAATATTTTTACTGTTCAGATGTTGGAACTAAATTATTGATGAGTATTACAGACACTTCTAAAACTTGTTGCGTCGTAGGTAATTACTATTAAGTTTTCTTACTCAACTAGTATGTTGCTTTTGACATTTATATGGTTTAGAAATTTCGGTACTGGGATTGTATTTACTATATGTTGTATCAAGGGTGTATGAAGAAGAGTCCTGTACTAAAATGAATAATTGGGTTTGACAAAACAAAAAACTGACAAACTATCAAGAAATATCGCAGTTTTCTTTAAGTTTATAGTTATGAATGATAATTAACTCATACAAACATTTTTATTTAATATTTATACTTGTTGATGGGGGAAAAAAGATAAAAAGATACTTTAACTTGTTAAGTCTCAAATACTTTTGTTTCACCTCAAAAGTATTCTATATCATTGAAACCAAAAAAAAAAACTTGGTATAAAACTAGAAATAGTGAAATCACAACACGATAAATCTATTTTAGATAAAGAAGTTGAGAGTGATGTTTGTTTAACACTGACTAGTTCTGATCTAGCTGGTATTCTTAAGGTAATAAATTGGTTGATCGATTAATTGATTGATTTCGCCTCTAAATCTTGGTATCTATTGCATACCTTATCAGTTAAGACTAGATCATGAAATTAGAAAAAAATGTTTTTTAAAACTTACTTTTTGAAACTAATTATTTTAGGGAAGTCTTCCTCCCCTGCAGGCATACCTCTCCAATAGGATTCAGATAACAGGTGCTGAGGGAGTGGGTTCTGTTTTATATGGAGGATGGGGGGGGGGGGGGGGGGGGGGATCGAGTGGGTAGAGACTAAAGAAGTTGTTTATTTATTCTGATACTGCGACCAAACTTTCTCTCATGGTGTTTAGTCTTAGTTTTTAAATTATTAGAATACGATCACCTTGCTTACCATGTTTTCTTACCATGTTTTCTTTCCCGATTATTATTATTATTATTATTATTATTATTACACCTTTCTCATTTGTTTCCTATTTTTAGTACTTAACCCTAGATAAATTTTCCTCTTAAAGGGAGTGACCGGCAATCTACGGAAGTAGTTGAACTGAGAATGTAGTATTGTGGAGTCATTTTTTTTGGATTCATTTGCGACATACATAACGTTTTAATTATGTTTAATTACTGAGTTTAAGCGCAAAGTCGACTTTCAAAATCATCCGTTTGGGTGGTTACGTTTTGAGAATCGATTTTTTAAAAATTATTAAATAACGACAACAATACATGCATCAAAAATTCTACAGTAAATTAATTAGTTGTTTAGGAACAGGTTGAGAAAATAAAAATTAACTCTTATCATCGAAAATGAGTAATCTTAATCAGTTATTAGTTTCTGTAATCTCTCATTGTTCACAAACATTTTCTGCAGATTTTCTGGAATTTTTATTGAAAAGACGACATTTGAAGAATTCAAGAAGTCTGTGAACAAATTCGTAAAGGTTAAAAAATTCAATAAAATGATGAAAAAAGAAATAATTGATTCTAACATTGAATTATTGACAAATTTATTTTGAGAAATATGTTCCTAAACATATAATTAATTTACCGTAGTTTTTTTTTACATTTTTTGTCGTCGTTATTTAATAATTAAAAAAAAACGATTCTCAAAATTCCTCTTTATTATCTCCTGGTGTTCATATCCTACAGTATTAACTTTAATCAAGGGATTTATCTACAAATTTAAAAGTGCCCAATGCCCACACTGGATATCGAGATCAAGCGTTTCAGATTATCGACACTCCATACAAAATTTACGACCTCTGAACTCTAGATCATATTTAGGAGATGTGAGGAAACTAATGTTCCTGGAGAAGATGGGGAATAAGACTCATAAACCTGGACAAACCTTCCACATCTAGATATATTAACAGTTAACATTGAATCCCGCTAATCTAAAAACGTATTTATGCAAGTCTATAATAAAACCAGCTCTTTTCAAATAAAAGACATTTTCTTTTACAAAAATTAGATAATATCAGTGCTTAGGATCCATTAAATTTTGATGCGGATCCGGATCCTGGATCCGCACTGGACAAAAAATGGATTTTGATCCGGATTCAGGTCAATGTTTTTAGATTTACTTAATTTTTAACAAAAAATAATTTTTTAATTTTTGTTTTATTTTTTTCGCTTATTTTTATCCTAAAACTTCATGAACCATTCAGAAATGAGGAAATTTTTATTATCTCTTTTTTTTCAAAAGTTCAGGTTTTGGGTTTTAGGAGTAAAAAAGTTTTTTTTTGGCAGTTTTTGGTTGCTATTTTACCTCTTGTATCCGGATCCCTCCACATTTTTGCGGATCCGGATCCAGGAATCCAAAATCTCACGGATCCAACGGATCCGTATCCTAAGCACTGGATAATTCATTCATAGATTGTCATTACCAAGGTAGTGTTTATGTACGCGAATTTATGAATTTGATAATCGTTAAATTTATTTTTTAGCTGTTACGGGCTGAACCCACATAGTTGGCGTAGAAAATAAACCATAAATTTGCAATAAACATAAAGTCTAGTGTACACTGCGAAAATACTTAATGTGCATATTTTGTACACTACACCACTGCATTCTACATTGTACAACATGCTTTAGACAGATCTTATAAATTGCAACGTTTTCATTACCAAAGAGCATTAAAAATGTGCAATAAAAATTGAGGAAAATACCCCGATGCATCAAATATTATTTTCTCAAATTGACATGCTTAATTTATTATTCTAAGCAAACAGAACTATTTAATTATTTGTTAAAGTTGTTATTCAACGAATCCTAATCTGAGCTTAATATTTTTAGTCTGAGTTAATCCTTGCTAGTCCAAAGTTTTCTTGTGAAACGCTTTAAATTTGATTTGAGACCTAAATTTTCGTTTTCCTTTTTCTATCTAAAAACATTTTTATCTTGTTCCTAAAAAATAATATGCGATCTGATTTTGCAAGAATAAACCAGAACTGCTAAAATTTTATTCAATACGTTTGGTTGCCTAGATTTAGATTTGCGTTTAAAGGCCTAATCAAAATAATTGTTATTATTTTTCTCAGAATTCTTAATACTTTTGTTTTATTAAATTTAAATTGTTAAGTACAGTCACTAATTTGAATGTTAAATATTAAAGTATCTATTTTAAGTTGTTCAGTAGTAAAAAGTCGCAATTTTTGAATTGGTTTGAGCTATAGTCACTGAGATGTAATTTCACAAGAATAGTTACTTTATTTTATTATTCACAAGAATAATTACTTTATTGTAATATTCAAAAGAATAGTCACTTTATTGTATTGTTCAGAAGAAGAGTCACACTGTATTATTCAGAAGAATAGTTACTTTATTGTATTGTTTGGAAGAATAGTCACATTGTATTATTCAGAAGAATAGTTACTTCATTATATTGTTCTGAAGAATAGTCACATTGTATTATTGAGAAGAATAGTTACTTTATTGTATTGTTCTTAAGAATAGTCACATTGTATTATTCAGAGAAATTGTTACTTCATTGTATTGTTCTGAAGAATAGTTACTTCATTGTATTGTTCTGAAGAATAGTCACATTGTATTATTCGGAAGAATAGTTACTTCATTGTATTGTTCAGAAGAATAGTCACATTGTATTATTCTGAAGAATAGTTTCTTCATTGTATTATTCTGAAAAATAGTCGCATTGTATTATTTAAAAGAATAGTTACTTCATTGTATTGTTCAGAAGAATAGTCACTTCATTGTATTATTTAGAAGAATAGTTACTTCATTGTATTGTTCAGAAGAATAGTCACATTGTATTGTTCTGAAGAATTGTTACTTCATTATATTGTTCTGAATAGTCACTAAATTAAATTTTTTACTATTATAGTCCCGCAGTTGTTCAGTAGCATAGTCAATAATTTAAATTGTTCAGTAGTATAGTCACAAATTTAAATTGTTCAGTAGTATAGTCACTTAATTTATGTAAAATGTAGCACTTTAATTGTAATTGTTCAGCATTACAATCCCTCTTTTTGAATCATGGTTAGTATTTACATGAAAATTGTGAACAACATTTTACTTATAATTTAATTACCTAGTCACAATGTATGAACATAACCCTTATATGCATAAAATACCCAATCATTTGTTTATTTCAGTAAAATGTGAGAAAATGTGAATCTGACCTGTTGAAGAGTAAATGTGAAACAGTGATATTTGAATTCTATATTTGTGGATAAAAACTAATGTCTTCACGAGACAAGATGAAGTCTAGAGGAATGGTAAGTACATTTTTAACTCTCCTTTTTTGCTAGGATTAACATGATTATGATTTTTGTTGTGATTCATATGATTGGGAAACAAATAATTTTACATAACACGCCCCCCCCTCCTTGCCTTCTTCAACCCTTGCAATCAGTTAAAGAAATTGTTGATATTGTTAAAGTACTGTTTTCTAATTGTTGAAACTGCCATTTTCATTTGCACGTTAAATCTATCTAGAATTGAAAATGTTATCACGAATTTAATCTATAAATTATATTATTTTGTCAGTTTACAACTTGAAGTTAGTCATTATAATGTACACCTGTGACCTTGAGGGAAGCGTATACTTTACAAAATGTGAAAATAAGCTAGTATACAGAAGACAGCTGGTCTAGTTTAGGATAATACAAGGGTTACATCACCTAGGAGAGAATAGAGTTTGCTTTCTTACTTCAGTTAAATTTTATCGTGAACAGAATCTGTTTTTCAATTTTCGTTTTTAAAATATTTAAAGATATGAAAGAAAAAGAAAAGGAAAAGAACAGAACCGCTAAAGGAATGGTGAGCGATATTTTATAGATAAAGAAATGAATTATCTTATCCATTAAAAAAAATTCATTTAAAAAAAAACAATATTAGTATTTTAATCCTTGACGAAAATAGTTTTATATCAGGAGTAAGAAAATTGGGATAAAAATATTTTTTATTAGGAAAAGAAAAAGTGAACAATTCATTAAACAATTCGTAGACAATTTGTTCAATGTTTATTTTACACTGTTGGATAAATTATCTGAATCCTCGAGGACTGTTCAGCATAGGATGATATTTCACCAGTTTCAATATTAACTAAACATAATTCAATTTATTAAAATGAGCTCAAGAAAATTTTAAAATGGCCAAAAGTAAGAAAATTTATTAGTTTTGTAAGTGGCATTTTTTTTACACACAGATTGTTACTACCCAAATTAGCTTAAAAAAATTTTATAAACATATCTGTAAGAAATGAAATTTTAAGAGAATTTAGCAGTTAGGTGTGTGTGTGTGGAGGGGGGGGGGTGAGAGAAAGTGAATCATTAAATAATGTTAAGCACTAATGATAATTAATATAAAAGATTACCTAAATGTCCGTCTGTGTCGACTATGTAGATGTTGTCAGGACTAATACCAGCATTGCTGTATGCCTTCTCATCAGAATCCTAATTTAATTAGAAATTCTTGTTTTAAATCCACATCCTTTAACGTTTCTTTCTCGCACTTGAATGGGGGGAGGGGTTTCAGGAGAATGTTCATTCTTATATTTTACCTTGTTACCGTAAGCTGAAACCACGGTATCCATTATATTAGTCTTAGATTCGGTGTTAAAAGTTCTCCAAACATCCAAGATGGTCTGAAAAATATCCTAAATTTATATGTTAATTAAAATAATTTTATTAAAAATTCTACAAATGAAATTTTACGGTTATTTTCGATTTTACCTTTGTTTTTTGTTGATCCGGGTTCTGTAGCACGACCTTGAAAACTTTTTATTATTATGTTTCAACTGATAAGAAACGTAATTTAAGATTCTAATATTTACCATGGATAAATTGGATTTGTTCCATTCGTATATGATTACAAGATACTAGGTCCAATGAGAGTAAAACTAAGGAGAAGGATTTGTTTACATTTTTCTGTGAAATATTGTAAACAATAAAAAATATGGCTAAATTTATGGACAGGGCCTGGGCAGGAATGCCGCGTCTGTTCAACTACTATTTTTACAAATCTGTAATTTAGTTTGTTAGCAAAACAAATCTGTTCTCAGTGCTAGTGTAGATGCTAGTGAATACAGTAAGCAATTAATCTCCATATTTTAAGAAGAATATTTTTATTATATAATCTGTACAGTAGGACCCATACAACTGTGGAATAGGAAGAGTACGTCATTTAATCAATCTTGTGTTTAACCAACCTATTGGCTGCAAGTACACAGTATACTGTTATGTGTTCATTTAATTATTTCATTTTACAGTCGTCTTCCTATTCCACAGTGTTATGGGTCCCACTGTATAAATATTAAGTATTAATCTAGAAAGTTTATATTTACCTCTGTATGTAAACTTGCAAGAAAACTGTTTGCAGAAAAAAGAACAGGACCTGAATGGTTGAATTCAAGATTATCATCTAGAAAATAAAAACTGTGGAAAAGAAAGACGACACCTAAAGGGACTTAAAGGGTAATATTAAGTGACTCTCAGCTCAACGTAAATCTGGCAATACCCGATTTACACTGTTTGTACAATAGTATGAATAAGATATCCATCATCCATGTTAATCCTTTTTAAACCCGGTTATTTTTAATTCTCTGCAAAGTAACTTGCGTATTTCTCCTGCAGGAAAATCATGGAGAAATAAACAGAATCACACACTTTTCAGTTAAAAAAGATTTATCTTCCACATTATTGATCAGATAAAGGTTTCAAGGGTACAGTTGTGAGTTGGGCAATGGGCATGCTTCTTGAAATGAAGGGTCACTTGAAATTACGTCTACAGTACTTTCAATCAAGCATTATTGTTTGATGTTGTTATGAAGCAAAAAGTTTAATATGTTGCTAGGATAACAGCTTAAACAAAGTGGGTCTATTTACTGCATGCACTGAACGATTACTGGGCTATATGTTTATTGGACTATTTAAAAAAATCTTGAATTTAGAAGTCGTCTTATTTTTTCAGTTTTTTGGGTCCTTTAGTACTGAACCCTTTCTTCATATAGTCAGAATGTTGCGGAACATACTAATGTGAATTTAAGTAATCTTAAGAATGCCTTCCGTGCATGGATTCAGAATTTCTTCAAAGGTTTGGCTCAACATTTTTTGGAACCTACATACAACCATGCATGTCGTAACATTATCCATTATTAGAGGGTTTTTATTGTAAAAAAATATTTTCAAAGATTTGATTCTGTTAGAAGGGTTGATTACCTAAGGGCAGAGAGAATCCATTTAAATTCTGTAGCATTTCAAACAGATATTCTTTAGTCTCAGCATCTTGACTAATTGATCTATAAATATAAATTCTGTAGCATTTCAAACAGATATTCTAGTCTCAGCATCTTGACTAATTGATCATTCTGTAGCATTTCAAACAGATATTCTAGTCTCAGCATCTTGACTAATTGATCTATACATATAAATTCTGTAGCATTTCAAACAGATATTCTTTAATCTCAGCATCTTGACTAATTGATCTATAAATATAAATTCAGTAGCATTTCAAACAGATATTCTTTAGTCTCAGCATCTTGACTAATAGATCTATAAATATAAATTCTGTAGCATTTCAAACAGATATTCTTTAATCTCAGCATCTTTACTAATTGATCTATAAATATAAATTCTGTAGCATTTCAAACAGATATTCTTTAGTCTCAGCATCTTGACTAATTGATCTATAAATATAAATTCTGGTTAAAAAATATAAGAACAAGAATTTACATAATTTTTCTATTTTTCTAGGCTCATAAAGGTAGCTTTTAGGATAATCCAAATTGGACTGAAAATGAATTATTTTAAACAAATGACCATTAGAAATTTGTTTAAAATTTCTTCTTTTATTTTAATGCCAGCTTCACAGCCTTGCCTGGGAACTAGATTTTTTCAAAGTCCAACCACTAAACATAGCAATTTTAAGCCAAGTTAAAAATATTCCCGTGGTTCATCAAACGAACCAATTAAATTATGAACAGGGATTATTAATCTCTCTCTATATATATATACAATACAATAAAACTTCAAAACATGTTTTGAATAATTATTTTCTTATATATATACTATATAGATACCTAGATGTGAGGTATATGACATGGTATCCTTGTTCCTTTATTCTTGAAAACAGTTCAACTACTGCTGGATGCTCAGCAGTCAGTCCAAAATGAGGCATTACATGTCCCTTATCAACAAATCAATGTGTTAATGGATTGTGTACACTGTACAGTGTGCATTGTTTTATGTACATACAGTATAGTGTTAAGGATACAGGGGTCCACGCACTAATGAACCCCAGTCCATCATCAATTCACACTTCTTCTTTTCTTCGAAAATCATATGTTGAATATTGTTAACCAGGTTAAAAATCACGTTTTTTGAATAAAAAATGTTTTTATATCCTTTTTTTTAGTTTTGAGATCTTCTCGCCCCAATTTAAACTTCTTTTGCTCAATACATGTTTTAGTTGGTCTATTGGTTTATCATATGCAATTATATCATAATTTGTGAACAATTATTTAAAATTCTTACTTTAATATCACTCTGTGTAATGGTTCCATCTATGTCTGTGAACACGATTTTATCATTTTCCTCATATAAGAACACATTGAAAGGAATTACAACACCAAGTTGAGGAGCAACAAACTTTCCTGAAATTTTTAGAAAATCAGATTTGCCTTTTTTAACGAGTCAATGGATTTTCTTGGAGATTAGTAAGAGATGAGACATGCAATAGACTTCACATATCTGCATGAAAAATTATATTGATAATTGAAAGAACGAAAGTGAAATTGGAAAGAGACGGGGGGGGGGGGAGGGATTTTTAGGAAATCAACAAGTTAGGCTTACCTTTATTTAATCCAGGTTTTAAGTTCAGTTCCTCTAGATGGTGGCTGGTCATATATTTGTCACTAGAACCTGATCATGAACAAATATATTTTGCCATGATAAATACAGGGTGTCCCACATCAAATTAGACCGCGTCAATGGGTCTAAATTACGATTTTGGGGACAAATCAGAAAATTTAAGAAGAATGAATCATTTAAAAAAATTTAATAAGGCTAATAGAAAATTTTGTTGACAGAAAATGCTAGATTTTTCGCGTATTATGTGCGTATTTTGGCGTTAAAAATTGTTGATAATCTAATATGATATGGGACGCTCTGTATGTTCGGTTACATTGTAATCTTGACGTTGGCATGAAAATCGGGCTATCTGATAGTAATGTTTATCCTTGTTTATACTAACTATATAAACAGCTTTGTACCAATTTAAAAATATTTCTCTGGATTAAAAATACTTCTGAAATACTAGAAAAAAATAATGTATAAAAGAATTGCCTTTAAATGCTGCGTATCCCGAATCCTGTATTTCCATTCTAAAAATATTTCTCATAGAAAAGTAAAAGGTTTTTAACAATTACTTAACAATTTCAATCACTATCTATATCTTTGCAACCTGATGATATTTCAAAGATTGACTGTTTGATCTTTATTAGAATTCATAGTTAGAATTTGGTAAAATTAAAAGTCTATGAAATTAGGTCACAAAGTTTAGAAAATTAGCAAAATTTAAGTCTAAGAAATTAGGTTACAAAGTTTAGAAAATTAGCAAAATTAAAAGTCTACGAAATTTGTTTACAAAGCTAAGGTTAGAAAACTAGAGTTTGAGACTATTGTTCATTTCATTTAAAAATGATATTTAGAAAAAATAATATTTGTATATTTTTGTGACATTTTTCTTTCCTGAATATATTTTTTAAATTTGCTATTACCTCTGCCTTGCTGGTACATTGTTTACAAAAATATACACTTCTTTCCCCTCCCTAGCAAATACAATTTCAAAAATATGATCGGTATAATAGAGTATGAGATTATTTTGTCGGCTGTACATGTATACAATATACGTGTACATTGTTCAATTTACATCAGTTTTTTTACTAAGTTGTTATTAAAAGATTATAATTAAACTAACACTACTAACACACCCTTCCTAACTTTCTCCATCTTGAAATGTCTAATATAATTTCCTAAATATATCTTTTAAAAAAGGAAATATCTTTTTTCTCTCCAAAAACTACTTGAGAACTTAGAATATTTCCGGCTTCACCTTTACTGAAAAAGTATAAGGGGTGGGGCATACGTCGTATTACTCTCCGGAAAATTTAAACAGTGGTTAAACATAACTTAGCATTGTCTAGGACGCTGATATTTTGTATGGGAACTCACTAATATGCAATTTCAAATAGATCGGAGAAAATGTGTGTGCGCGCGCGAGCGCTTTTTGTTAAAAAATACGATTTTTTCACGTTTTCACATGCTTTACACCGCTTAATGAAATTGAAATTGCATCAGAATTCGATTAAACAAGAAATTTCTGAAAAGTGTGCGCCCTAGAGCCTCAAGTCCCCCCGCGCGCGCGCGATTAAGAAAAAATATAAATAAATATATTTTAATTAAAGTTGGGCCTAGTTCAAAACAACAGTAGCGTGCGATATATCAAACTACAGGAAAATTGGGACACGGTATTCATTTCCGAGGTCAAAATTGACTTTGAAGCATTCTGACCTGCGCACTAGTAGCCAGATGTCACATTATGGGTCATCTTACTATAAGTTTTACATGCCGTATATCAAATTATATTTAATTGGGCACGAGGATTCCATTTCTTGGGTTAAAAAATCATTTGATCACTGATAGGCGCGCTAGTAGCCTACCGTTACACTATGGGACATCTTACAACAGATTTTGCATGTTGTATGTCGATTTATAGGTAATTGGGCATGAGGATTCCAATTATTTACCAGTGTTTAAATTTTCTGGAGAGAAATACGACATATGCCCCCCCCCCTTTTTAAATGAACACAATTACATAAAGCAAAGACTAAAATAATAAACATCTTAAAAAAGTTATTCTCTTCATACTTGTTGCAAATTACTATGTCTGATGTGTATAGGTTTAAAACATATGACAGTTATTTTAATAATAATTAAAACTAATTCCTAACAATTATTGATGTCATGTCTTTCATTTACACAATTCAGCCCGCGTAAAATAAGTGTTCACTATGGATTATAGACCCATGGTCAAGTTTTTAAGACAACGGCGCAACACAAAACGTTGGAGTACATGACTTTTAATCGATCTTGAGCAAAACAAAATAATAGGAAGACCTTAATAATAAACTGGAAATAGATTTGTTGATATATTGTTTTATTTGTATGCGTGAGCTTGTGCCCACACCCCTTAACAAAAATAAATTATTAAAGTTTAAAAAAAAAAACATGTAAAAAAGTTCTGTTACAAACGATTCGCATTTCGGAGAAGTATTACTTTTAAAAAAGGGTTTTAATGATCTTTAGATACTAACCTAGAAATAAGTAGAGAATGAAGCTTTCCAAATTTAACATCCCATCTAGTAGACACAAACCCACCATCACTCCTAGAAGATCAAGGGGTATACATTACCATACATTTCGGAGATTTCAGGGGGGGGGGTGATATTAGGAATTCAAGCGTTCCTTCCTCTTCAACATTTTTTACTTGTTGCTTTTCGAAAAAAAATCATTTAAAGGAATCTACAATCTTCTTTCTACGTAATAAGGAATAAAATAAGTTTGGAAAGGGGATGGTGGAGTTGGCACATTTGATGTAGGGGGGGGGGGNCTCCACCATCCCTTTTAAAACATTTTTATTTGAATTATAATCTATAAAAGTGTTGAAATAAAGTTAAACCTGTGAACAACAATTATGTCGTTAGCACCATTTCTCAATGCTTCCTCTCCCACTGCCAAGCCTGTTAATAAATATATCGGAATGACAATGCACATATGTTTGTTTATACAGAGGTAACTGATCCAGTGTCCACTTTAATGTATTTTCTGTTGGGCGTCCTGTAGTATGTCCATTTTATTAATTATGATTATACATTTTTATAAATGCGCACTTTGTTCTGTGCAAGTGTGAGGAAATAAAAAATAGATAAAAAGGGATTTTCAAAAAGGGCCTAAAATTTTGTACAGTTTTGTGCTTTTTATTGCTTATTGTTGAAAACTAGTGGCGTATATATACTGTAGTGTGTATTGCAAACAACTTTTTAACGATTTTATTTCACATTGATTCTTATACAAAAATTCAATTTATAGTTAAATTCAATACCTGTCAATATGAAGATGAAGAAAATTGTAAAAAACATTTTAAATTTTGTGTAGGTATCACATTGGAACTTTAACAGGGACATATCGGGGAAGCCCTCTTTTAAATTCAATTAATCTGTTAAAAAGAACTATTAATATATTTCAAAGTTCACTAAACTCAATATATTTTATTCTTTTCTCTTTATTGTCTAGATAGTTTACACCTCGAGTTTTACAGTGAAAATATGAATTAAGCTGGCCGGCAGCCAGAACTTTAACAATTATACAAGGAGATTAATCTAACACAGAGATAATACGACGACCTTCCTTATTAAATAATGTCAGCAGATACAGTATACAAAACATTGAACAAACACTAATGAACAAACAAAATTGTCCATATTTTACATGAGGAAGTGCAGGATTAAAGTGTTACTAGGCTTTTAGGGCGCTTAGCGCCCATCTTCTATTTAAATTGTGAACATGTTCTTTTTGTTCACATTTAAAAACAAAGAAGAAAATTTTTTTGCGGATTTTAAAAAAAAATTCGCGGATTTTGAAGAATTTAAATTTTCTTAAAAAATTTAAAACCTTTAAAACACATTTTTTTAAAATTTTTAACCTTCCCTGTGGTCACGTGATGTCCCACAAAAAATTTGGGCCCGATCGGTTCAGCCGTTTTGACGTTTATTGGATGCAAACAAACAAACAAACTCCCAGACAAGCCATTTATATATAGAAGAATCAGTTTTACTTCACAAATAATATACAACTATTTCTTATACAGTGATAACCATAAAACTTTGAAATAGGAAGAAGACTTTTAGAATCAAGTTATATCTTTAAAAAGTTTAATGAGCTCATGAGGCACAGCAATTGTCATTTCGCGAAATTAATGATTTTATAAGTCTCTAGTAAAAATATTTGCATTTTCTAAAATACACAAAAGCATTGCTATAATGTCGTCTTCTTCTTCCACTGTTTTCTAGTTATCACAGGACAATTTTATATATCAGAAAGAAGAGGTTTATTTTGAAGAAATCGATTAGTCGAAACCCTGATGATTTAACATTGGGCATGATCGGAATTAATAATTTTAAGTAACGATTTAAGAATAAATTAATAAATAATCTCATAATTTTATTGTCATTTTAGGTAAGTGAATTCTCAACTCAATTCTAATAAATAAATAATAGTTACTTTGTCAACTTTATGATCTGCTCTAAAGATCGAGTAATTGAAATATTGACATTTTAATTTATGGATTCATCATTTGATTGATGGTGATGTTAATCTAATTATATGTCGATTACTTGATCTCTCTTATTTTTTTGACCTCTTAATCTCTTGATCTTTCGATCTTTTGATCTCTAGATTTCTTGACAGTTATTTCTAATGTTAAATATTAATCTTATGAATTCAAATTATATCTAGATTACATTGATTATGAAATTAATAATCTCTTGATCTTTGATCTCTCTTTCTTCTGATCTCTTAATCTGAATTGATTGATCCTGCACAGGGTTTTTCTTGTAATTCTTTACACTTTTATAAATTGATCAGAATCTGCTTTCAATCTATTGATCCTAGGCAACAAGAAATATGTATGATCCCTGATCCTTTGATCAGTATTCTTCTGTTAACTTCCTTGTGCCTAAACTGTCACCATGTAATAGTTTAATAAGAACAAAACCTTGCAGAGAGAATAAAGGAATTTGCGTGAAGAAATATGGTTTGGTTCAATTTAAAATATATATAAGTAATCTCCAGTGTTATTACTTAATCCTTCCTCTTTCTTGTCTCTGATCTCATTGCTTTTCTTCCCGTCCCCTATTTTACTCTTTTCTTTCCCTCTCATTCAACACTTTTCTTCCCCCTTCCCCTATCAACTCTTTTCTTCCCCTCTCACTTTACACTTTTCATCCCACTCCCCCTCTCATCCCTGTTCTTCCCTTCTCACTCAACACTTTCCCCCCTCTCAATTCGTAACTTCCCTTCTCTCAACTGTTTTCTCCCCTTCCCCTTCATCTCAACTGTTTTCTCCCCCTTCATCTCAACTGTTTTCTCCCCCTCCCCTACATCTCAACTGTTTTCTCCCCCTCCCCATCTTAACTGTTTTCTATTCTCTCCCCCTCTTCTATTTACTTCTTTTCCACAAGTTCAAATCGATTTTACTTATATCAATTCACCCATTTCTTCTCCTTTATTACTTCCTGATGTTGATACTTGGAAGAGGAGCAGAATATGCAAAATCCCTGCTAAAATATTGCAAAACTTTTGATGTATGAGGCTTCTCTTTGTTTCCTGTTTTTGCGCAGGTTTTTGCTTACAGCTTTACTATGATTATGTTTAAGTGTGTGCGTGCGGTAATAGTATTTCTTAGATTTTTGAGTTTTTGTATCTTCCTGTGTTTGTGTTTTGATCCAAGTAAGTTTTATGATTAAAGAATATTTGGCCTAAATAATGTGAAAAAACTGGCAACCAATCTAACCTTGACAAATCTAAAATATCTACTTACTCCTGCATACATATCATCATTAAAATCATATAATATATATATAATATACATACAATATACATACATACATACATACATACTTCTAGACTGGAAAGAACTTCAAAAAGTTTTCACTGTTTCTGATCTCAATACTTTCCGATGGTTCCCTGTAGGCCCCCTAGGTAGGTTTGTCAGTTGGTCCAATGGATTCAGATAATTCATAGATACGATTCACACAAATATGTTGATCCAATGGGCAAAAAATTACATTTAAAAACTTTTTTTCTAACCAGTATACAGGAACAAAGATTTAAAAACAAATATTGATTCGTTTTATCAACGATTAAAGGGAAAAGTCTCTAAAAATTGTAAAAGCAATTAGAATCCGCATACCGCATGCAGTTTTTTTGGATCCGCATCCGAAATAAAGCACTAAAATTATGTAATAATGCTATAAATAGTTTTGATAAAATTATATGATATACAAATACACATATATCCTAATGAATTCAGTTGTATATTGTGTTTACAAGTGTTTAGATATTTAGCATACAATGCAAATTTAATCAACTGTATTTCCCAATTTATTTGAAATGGCTGCAATCTGTTTACCTAAAAGAAAGGAAAGAAAGGTAAAGTATGCATATTACATAAAATGAATAAACCAAAGTTCAATTGTTCTTATCAATCATCTGAATGTTTTCAATATTGGTTAATATTGTAGAAACGATGAATACAAAAGTATACTGTTCACTTATAAACAATATTTATATTGTAACTCATAACCTAAGATTATGTGTTTAAATGTGTTATTGTTGATAATCGTTGCAATTTGTTGGAATTGTGGTTTCAATTATTTTCATTTATTCATTTATCATTCGATCTGAGATATCCTTCTCTACACCTACCTTCTCTACACCTACCTTCTCTATACCCACCTTCTCTATACCTACCTACCTTCTCTACACCTACCGTCTCCATACCTACCTTCTCTATACCTACCTTCTCCATACCTACCTTCTCTACACCTACCTTCTCTACATCTACTTTCTCTACACCAACCCTCTCTACACCCACCTTCTCTGCACCTACCTTCTCTTTACCTACTTTCTCAAGTTCTCTACATAAACCTACCTTCTTTTTCCCTTCCTTTTCTACACCCACCTTCTCTACACCTACCTTCTCTACACCTATCTTCTTTACACCTACCTTCTTTACATAAACCTACCTTCTCTTTACCTACCTTTTTTTTCCCTTCCTTTTCTACACTCACCTTCTCTACACCTACCTTCTCTACACCTATCTTCTTTACACCTACCTTCTTTACATAAACCTACCTTCTCTTTACCTACCTTCTTTTTCCCTTCCTTTTCTACACCCACCTTCTCTACACCTACCTTCTCTACACCTATCTTCTTTTACACATACCTTCTTTACATAAACCTACCTTCTCTTAACTTACCTTCTCTTTGCCTACCTTCTTTTTCCCTTCCTTTTCTACACCTACCTTCTCTACACCTACCTTCTTTACATAAACCTACCTTCTCTACACCTACCTTCTCTACATAAACCTACCTTCTCTACACCTACCTACTCTACAGTCTACATAAACCTTCTCTACACCATCCTTATTTCTTATTCCTATGCCTGTTTGTTGTTATGTATACTTCCTGTATGCATGATATTGTTTGTTTGTTTGCTTATGAATAAATCTATATTGAATGATCCAGCTAATGAAGAGCCCCCTGCAGTTATCTGTACATATATTAGTATTTGGCAGGATAAAGAGATAGTAAATATAGGTATATTTAATACTAAGGTTTTATTATATGAATTGGGCAGCAAATTCACAGATGTATGTACTATATAAGGGGGGGGGAGACTAAACAAATTTTCTGATAAATTTTGCTTTAGCTAACATTCTTTATTATGATTATAAGATTAAAGCAAGAACAGTACATATATCTCAATGAATTGTGTAATATTATAAAAGGGCTTCAATTGCTCGGAATAATGGAATATTATTTATATTCTGACTTGAACATGAACACAATGCTTTTATCTTTCTAATCTGTTTATCATCATTTTCAACAACTTTATATTGCAGAGTGCACACCTGTTAGTCTTTATACGTTGACAGTTTTGGTATTTTAAATCCATTTATATTAGTATACAAACTGCTGATTTTACACATAGTTGAAATGTAAATGAAAGTTCCTTTTGGTAATTCGTAGAACACGATTTTAAGTAGGAACGTAGTTAAATCAACCTTAGATATTGGGATTTAAAATGCCACCAAACATGAATAGAAACTTTAAAATGGACTAGATAGTTAAGTTCTATCTGTTTGAGCTAGTTATTTTCTTCTTGTAGGGAGTTAAACTTAATCCAATTCTACCAATTCTTTAGCCCATCTCTATAAGCTATAAAGCTATATATTCAAAGCTTAAGTGCAAATAATTCAAAAATTACCAACTTGAAGAATTTTTGCAGTAGACAGAATATCTTGAACTAATTTTCCCTTGTAAGAATATTGATCTATTTATCATTCGTCCAAACTTTTATTTAATCAATTTTGATTTTAATTACCTAAATTAGAAGATATAACAAATGAACAGCAACCTTTAAAATATAACTAAATGTGCATCATTTAGTAAAATATGACTTAATGTACAGAAACCTGTAAGATTTATCTAAATATATAGCAACCTATACGATATATCTAAATGTACAGTAACCTGTAAGACATGACTAAATGTACAGCAACCTGTAAGATATAAATAAATGTACAGCAACTTGTAGATATAACGTAATGTACAGCAACCTGTAAGATATAACTAAATGTACAGCGACCTGTAAGATATATCTAAGTGTACTGCAGCCTGTAAGATGAATCTAAATTTACAGCAACTTGCAAGATATAACTAAATGTACAGCAACCTGTAAGATAAAACTAAATGTACAGCAAGTTGTAAAATAAATCTAAATCTTAAGTGTACA